GCCCGCAAGTGGCCTCTCCTTTCTCTCCTCTTCCTCTCTGCACAGACTTGTGTGGCTGAGCTGGATCCTATTCCCAGTGTTCGGGAACATGGGAACTGCCTCACTCCATCCTCAGGTGTGGGACTCTGAAGACACAAAAAAAGGGCAGATCTGGCTTCCCGTTTTCCCTGAAGTGTTTGTGTGCAGTAACAATAACCGTGTTGAGATACAGGTAGGGATAACGTGTTGCTCTCCTCAAAATGGTAGGGAGGACTGGGAAATTACTAGAACTATTTTTGTTGTCCTGGGGCAAGGTGGCTCCGCTCCACTCCGGCCTCACGTAGATGGAGGGGCTTTGCCTCGCAGAGCAGTTCCTCTTCTATGGAAATTATTTTTTTAAATAATAAACTTCTGAGTTTTTCTGGACTTCTTGTCTGAAGAGACCACTCAGGTCCACCAGAGGATCAGAGGCAACACAACAGGGTAACAAATCTGGGTATCACCATGCCAGGTGCCACCACACTCCTGTGGGGTGCAGGAGCAGTCCTTCCTTCTCCAGAAGCTGTGTTGTAGTTTTGGGTCAGGAGTGATCTGGAGATGGGTCCCCCTTACCCTTGTTTCAGTTTGCATCACGGGGTGGTCTTGAACTGTGCTCCCCAGATTGCTGTAGAGTGGTAGGGCAACAGGGCTGCCCTGATGACCTTCAGGCCATCACTCCTCACAAGCAGTTGCCAGAGAAAATTGTGTGTGATGCCCTTCCACATTTATGTATTCCTGTAGAAGAAATCAGTTTGGCCAGCCCTCATTAGGGCCTCAGCCCCACATGCTGTGTGGAAGCAAAAATATTCTTGCTGTTGGTGGGACTTAGAATCGTTTTGGGTTTACTTTTGTGCACTGTTGTTCATAGGTGGAAACTTGGTGATGAAAGCACCTCCTCAAAAGAGGACGTATCAGTTTCCGTGCTTCCAACGGTGGATCTGATGACCTTTTGCAAGAACAGAGCTGAACAAAAATTTACTTATGAGCAAAAAGAGGGTATTAGAGCTTAGAAAAACATACAAAGACAATGGGTGTGTACTTTTAGAAGGAATCTGTACTCTATCTGTAAGGCAACCTCTTATACGTCATGTGAGGCAGGCTGCGGGATGCCAACAGAGGCCTTTATTGGGAAAGTGACAGTCCCCAGAACTTTGCATATGTTTGGGTTTTGGTGTTTGGTTTTTTTTTCTAAGTGTCATATGACAGGAATCTATGAGATCCTCCTCACTCTTTGTGAGCATGAGAGGCAGGCGAGAGCAGTGAGGCAAGAAAGATGAAGATCTAAGAAGATTAATTTGAATGCAAGACAACGCATTTGTTTAAAAAAAACCACCTTGAATTAGGTTTCTCTTGGAATGCTGCTAAACATGACTTTATGAGTAATGCATGTTTTTTCTGCTTGTCTGTTTAAAACATACAGCTTTTTGTTGCTTGGGAGCTTCATTTGGGTGGTCAATCTGTGCATGATAAGCTTCCTATAGGAGCAATAAATATTTGGAAAGGGGACAGTCTTTGGTCTTCAGTGGAGGAGTGTTGAGAAACAGGTAGCTCTGCCTTACTCTTCTCTGCATTATAAGCCTTGGTAAGCTGTGTGATGTTCTTGCTTTCTAGGACACAAAGAAAAAGTTTAATTACTACACCTACCTGAAAAGAGGTTGTAGCGAGGTGGGGGTCAGCCTCTTCTCCCTGGTAGCTAGTGATAGGACAAGGGGTAACGGCCTCAAGCTGCACCAGAGGAGGTTTGGGTTGGATATTAGGAGGTATTTCTGACTGGCAGGGTTGTCAAGCATTGGAACAGGCTGCCCAGGGAGGTGGTTTAAACCCTCTGGAGGTGTTTAAAAGACAAGTGGATGTTGTACTTAGGGACATGGTCTAGTGGTGGACTTAGGGCTGGTTCAATGGTTGGACTCAACGATCTTAAAGGTCTTTTCCAACCAAAACCATTCGATGATCTTATGATTCTATGATTCTCTTACAGCTAAATGCTATACATAGTTTTAACCTAGAGTCCAAGCACTAGGAGGCTGGAAATGGTGAAAAGTTTGATTTTGACCTTTTATGTTTCCTAATTCTCCAGTCAACCTAGTGGGACTAACAGAGCCATCTGCTCTTCCATGTTACTGGTGTAGATTGTCATTTTTTTTCACATATTTTGTTTTAAAAATGTGTGCCAGGTGGATGATTGCTGTGGTGAACTGAAACAAGTCTTACTGTGGCTGGCCTGCCCAGTTTGGTGAAATATTTAGTGAGGAAGGTTATTCATTCAGCAGAACTGAGCAGTCCTCCAGCTCATGCTGTTTATAATTGAAAATGATTTCTGGGTGAGCGAGTTAATTATTTCTTGCTGTCTCACTACCCTCTGCCTATTTTAAAACTGTGTATTGACCTTCAGAAACAGCTGAATTTCAGCCCTGTGGTTCCTAGCATATGCTGGTTATTTTGGTTGGGGTGAATATTTACTGTTTCCCCTAGGACTTTCAAACATAAATAAAAGTTTAGAGGACCTCTGGGTAAATATGTTCATGGTTCAGCACTTTAATGTGTCAATTAGCTACTAACAGTGTCAATAAATTGGACCTGTCAAAAATAATAGCTTCCTTGCCAGTCATCGTCTCCCGCTTTACCTGTGTGCTACAAGAAACACAGGGCACACCACCAAAAGTAGTAAAAGCCAACTTTTCCATGCCTGCAGCAAAAATTAACAAAGCAAGACTGCTTTCATCAGATTTGGGTTTTGTAAGCTAAGAACCACCTTTTGAAATCTTCCTAAAGCCCTTATCCTACTGACAACCCTTGGGTTTCATCCAAGTGCAGAAAAAGGAGTAAGAACAGGGGATTTGACTCAAAAGGAGAGGTGTACCTATCACCTGAGTTTGAACTGAACTGTTTGGGAGTGTGGTTTTATGTCAGTGTTGGGGAAATTTTACTCTGCCCAGTGCAATGAGAAAGGTGGTAATCTTGTCTGATTTTAGGTAACTGCAATCTGGCTTTTCACTGTGAGCCACCCTAGGCTCTCTGCTTCATTTATCATAATGGAGAAAAGGAGATTTCATCCTTCTACCATAGGAGTCTACCCTATAGTTCAGACTTAACATACCTGGTTATGACCATGGACACTTCAGCAGGCACAAATTACTCTTTTATATTCCAACATGAGAGTTAGAATCACTGAATTATAAAATCATTAAGGTTGGAAAAGACCTCTAAGATCATCAAATCCAACTGTCAACCCAACACCACCATACCCACTAAACCATGTCCCATATTGCCACATCTACACATTTTTTGAACACCTCCAGGGACGGTGACTCCACCACCTCTCTGGGCAGCCTGTTCCAATGCTTGACCACTCTTCCAGTAAATGAAATTTTCCTAATATCCAATCTAAACCTTCCCTGGCGCAACTTGAGGCCATTTCCTCTTGACCTTTTGCTAGTTACTTGGGAGAAGAGACCAACACTCAGCTCAAATTTGTAGGAGTTACAGTTATTTCATTGACTGTTGTGTGGTCCTTCAGCAGAGGGGCTGCAGGAGCATTTTGCAAATGCATGCCAACAGATGTAGATAAATGGCAGTAGGTTGTGGTTGCAGACGAGCAGCACAGCACCTACATTTGGTAGGACTGATGAAATGGAGTGTTAGGTGCCACAAATTGTGTCTTGTGCGGTGCTTGTTGCAGAAAGCTGTGAACCAATTGGGAGTTTTTAGACATTGTTTGAATGCAGAGCAGTCATCCTGGAGCAGTGTCTGAAGTGGGTGGCAGTGAGGGGAGTAGAAGGCAGCCAAGCATCAGTGGTAGCCACTGGCAGCTCAAGGACCTGTCAGCCAGACACAGATTTCTCTTTAATGAATTTATCCAGTCTCTCTTTGAATCTCTGCAAACCTTTAGCATCCACATATCCTGTGGAAAGGAGTTCCACAACTTCATTATATGAACAAGGGCACCTTTTGGTTTGAATCTGCTGCCTTCTGTTTTTTATTAGATGTCCTCTAGTTCCCATTTTAATATATTAATTTTCTATGTATGAAATAATTTTGTGCAGTTTTGGGGTTTTTTTTTGTTTATTGGTTATTACATAAAATTTGGTGTAATCGGCAATGAAAACATGGTTTAGCTCTGCACATTTCCACCCACTGGAGATCAAAGCAAAAAGAATTAATACCCTAATAGCGACAGTACATTTTCATTTTAAATGAGATGTAACAGCAGGTTATGAAGAAAAACATCTTGTGATGGTTATTCAGCTGTGTAAGATTGCAGTGTTCCACCCTGTAAACAGCAATACCAGATTATCACAGCCTTTCAATTACAAGATGTTTTTGAAAGGGAAAGGAGGCCAAGCAGGCCCTTGTCCTGCTGACAGGCCCTGCCCCTGGGACGTCCAGCTCAGAGCAGCCTCAGTGCATGGCAAAATGGTGTGTAGCTAAAAGATATTTTAGAAAAGACATTTGTCCGGGCAGTGTGGCAGTGGTTTGCTTTATCTCAAAGAAGTTCTGCTATCCTTGAAGCTGGGCTCGTGTTGGACTTCCTTGCAGAGTGAGGGCCTTTGTGGATCCAAATCCAACTGGTGGAATGTCCAGGCAGGCCCAGGACCCCAGGCAGGATCTGTGCTGCCAGTCTGCTCCCATTTGTGTAGCATCTGCAATACATTCACAACCAGACTGACATGTAAGACTGGCCTTGTGGGCACAGAGCGGCTCTGCAGCCTGTGGCAGCCACTGCACAGACCACGTGGAGTTGCTCTTCAAAACCTCATGGGTACAGCCTCTTGCCAGATATTCTGCCCAATGCCACGGGGTTATTTTTTGCAGTCCTGAGTGCCACAATGTGTTTCTTGTGAACTAAGTTCAGGAGGTGATGCCCTGTGAAGGGCAAAATTGCCTAGGAGGAGACACTCAATGGTAAGGTGACATTACTCCAGCCAAGGTCTGATGTGGTTTGCAATGGCTAATGCCAAACGCTGCGCAGAGGGAAAGGAGCTACCAGAAACCTGTTGTGGTCTCAGTTCTCACCTTAGCCTTGCTCTTTGTCACCACAGGTTACATCCAAGCCTGCAGAGGACTGATGATCTCCGCCGTCTGCCTGGGCTTCTTTGGTGCCGTTTTCGGACTGGTTGGGATGAAGTGTACAAAAGTTGGAGGCTCCGATCAGACTAAAGCAAAAATAGCTTGTTTAGCTGGACTGATTTTCATACTCTCTGGTAAATATACCTTGTTTCTCTAAGTTTGGCTATTTGAAGTCATACCAGAGCTGCTGCTTTTCCGCAGAAATCACACACAAGTCTCCGTGACTTCACTGGCTTCAGAGTCAGGCCTGAAGCTCTTCTGCTGGCTCCACTGAATGGTTTGTCTTATGCTTTTCAGGGTTGTGCTCTATGACTAGTTGTTCCCTGTATGCAAACAGGATTACGTCTGAGTTCTTTGATCCTTCTTTTGTTGCACAAAAGTAAGTACTTTCCTATACCCATAAATCTTTCAAAGAAGTAGACCTTAAGTTTTGTACTGCACACCAGAGCCCTTTTAGACAGAGAGCAGGTGCTTCTCCTGTTGGGCAGAGGAGGAGAGTGGGTTGTAGGTTTGTTTAATCATATTTTCCAACTGGAGTAAGTGTGGGCTGAAATTTAATGAAGGAGCACCTTCCTGTACAGTGATTGCTGTGTAATCCAGGATTATTGCGGTTTGGCAGGGTTCTGCCCCACTTGCCGCAGAGCGGATGGGGTTAACCAGGAGGGGAGCTTGCGTTTGTGTCAGAGGTGCAGCAAAAGGATTGCACAAGACAGAGGCGCTCATTAGGCACATCATTTGATAGGAAAGGAAGAAAAAGATTTCCTTAAGATTTTGACAGAAGGTGGTTTCCCTAAAGGTGTCGAGCTCTGTGCAATCTTGTCTCCTCTTGAAGAGAGGTTTCTGCAGGCTTTGTGGACTTTTTGCTGACTGATTTTGAAAGCCAGATGGCTGGAATTTGGATCATAAATGTTACTGGAACCTGCGATCTTATAGGCACTAGCATAAATTCTTTGACTGTACTTGTAATTAAATTTAAGGGAGCGAAGTGTTTATGGAATTGCAGGATCCATACCAGAAATAATGAGCATCTCTAAAGACTCACTTTAAAGCTGTGCGAGTTCTCAGGACCTACAAAGGCAGCAAGTCAAAAACCAGCGCTTGGATTTTGGGTTCGCATCTTAACTACCAAGTCTGAAAACATTGGCTGCAAATTATAGCATCATAGACTTTGCTGTTTTGCCTTCTCACATAATGTAAAGTTATCTTTAAAGACAAGGATTTCAATGTTTTCTTGGTGGTGATTCCAGGATGTGTCAAGCACTGGGTATGCATTTCCCCGAGATGAAAGTGAAGGCTTAGTAAGGAACCCTGAGCCTTTCTGTTTTTTCTTTGGTAGAAAGAAAATAGTCTAAATAAATAACAGCAACTGTATCCATGTTTGGGGTAGGGCTGCCACTGCTTCTCCTGTCTTGAAAGCAAGTCCATATTAGCTTGCTCCATAATTCTGCTATAGTTTCTGCTTGTTTGATATGGTGAGGACAGGATCCCAAGGCCTCCAGAAGAAACAAGATTGTGAGGTACTGTGAAGAAAATGGAGTCTGGCTATATAGCCAGAAGTTAATATTCATCAGGCTTACTATTCCTAGTGAAAAATACCGTGGTTGGTTGCCAGAAGTCCCTTTCCTACGCTGTATCCCTACGCAGGAATAAGAGCAGGCCGACCTCACAGCTGAGTTCTGCTGCTGGGGAATGAGAAATCCAGTTTAAATATTGAAATAAAGGTAGTAAAACATCCTCTGCAGAAATTGCCTTTTTCCTGGAAAGCCAGCATAGCTCAACTGTGGGCACACATAATCACAACTGCAAAGATAAAGGCAGAGAGGAGCGCCAGAATTTGTAATTTGAGTTGTGAATTATGTATGTAACTCCTTTCTCTCTGGACCAATGTAAAACATGTTGGAGTAGTGTATTTTGTTGCCTTCTCTGAACTCTTTGATATGGGTTGCAGAAGCATTTAGTATGTTTTGCAAGTATATTGTTGAAATCTATTATTGGCTCTTCACTGAGATAGGGAGCTGCTTTGGGTTTCAGCCTTTCACATTTTGCTGCACATTTCTCTCCTGAAGTTATTCTGGCAGTGTCAAGGACAAGCTTGAGATACCGTTAACAAAAAATGAATGACAGGAGGTGTTTAGCATCGTCTCATCCATCAGAATTTCCCTCCATCTTTTTGCATTTGGAAGAGGCACCCTGACTATGTATGGGTGCAGGAGGAATCAGAGACCTGCCTAAATCTGTTGCCTGAGAGACTTCTGGTTTGAATTGTGTACCTGACTGAGGAATTACAGGTACCAGGGGGACACCCTAAAACCCAACCTACTTAGAAAGAGATCTTGGGCTGAACTTCATGCCCCGCTGCAATAGATGGCATTGCTAATTTAAGAGAGCTCCAAGGGAATTGCTTGACCCTATGTAATAACATGTGCAGAGTCTTGGCGACAGCACGGGATGCCTTGGTGTGTGCAGCCAAGATGGATTTCATTTTTCTTCAGACACCTCTAATAGGAGAAAATCTGTTTTGCTGTTGCTCCCACGTCTCCTCTTAGGAAACTATTTTGTCACTTTACTACTTTTACTTAAAAAAAACCCCAACCCTCTTATAGTCTTCATCCTTTTTGTCCCTTGCCACAGTTAGAACTCCATAATCACGATTAGTCTCTCTGATGAATAGGGTTAGTTTATCCAAATTATCTAGCTAACTTCCCATTTTCTTTTATAGACAATTGTTTCCCTTCAGCTTTCTCCTCTCTGAATTGTGCACGGTTCACACAGGTGCTCTTTCCACTGTCCTGCTGTTACATTTGAATCTATTTTTCATTTTCCAATAATTGTAAAATTAGACATTCGAAATGTGTATTTCCCTTGGGTAGCTGTGCTGATTTGGTAGGTAGGTCAGTATGTCCTTGCCATATGCCGACATCCAGTCAGCTAATAAAGCTTCCGCTGGTTTGGTTGGAAGTTTACTTTGTGGTGCTAATGTATGTAACTACTAGAATACTTTTCTTCCATACTGATATTATACTTCCTTTCTTTCACTGAATTCTGCCCCTGGATTACAGCAAAAAATCTGCTTTTCTCCTGCTTGGCCAGTGCAGTTGAAGGTCTCTGCATTTGACTTCTCTTAGTCCTCAGCAGTCACCACCTCTAAGCCTCTTCATCGATGTTTTGCCCCCCCCCCACCCTGAGCTGCCAATGATCTCTAATCAGATTGGTTTTACAGATTGGAGACAGTGGAAACGCAGCCACAGACTTCAGAGAGTGGCTGCTTTGGTTCTTTAAGAATTATGTTTCCTGCAAAGGTTTTAATGATAAAGAGGGAAGGGAAAAACAGCAAGTGCAGAAATTTCTTCTAAAAAACCCTATCTCCTTTTTTTTTTTTCTGGAGGCACCAGTGCATGTAAAGGGTTTTTCATATGGTAAGGTGCTTTTTTTTCCATGCTGCATTTTGATGGGAGGATAGAGTTGCCTTATTTAGTGCTGAAAAGATGAATTGGATAAAATCCAGGGAGCCACACACGGTTTGATATGCAATTGAAAATTCAAAGTTTTCCTCCTAAGCACCAGTGTAAATCAAAAGGTCTTTTATCTGCTTAAAGGTGTGGATTCCCTCCAATTAGGCCAGCTCTGCAAGTCATTAACCTTGCTGTGTGTCAGTCACTGAGAAAGGTCCATATATGCAATCTCTTTCTACATGTGATAGTAACAAATGTTGTTTAAAAACTACAACTGATCCCAAGAACAAAGGCCAGACCCCATATCTTCTTTCCCAAGTCAGGTGACCCTTCTTTACCCAATTAAACCAAATGTAATCTTGATTTCTTTTCTGTACAGCTGAAGAGCTTCAGGAGATGGCAATCCGTCTCCTTATCTCTCTCATGTTCGCCTCTGGTCAACTCTTCAGTGTTGTTAGATGGAAATGTGGAAATGAACTTGTGTTTCCCACCTTCTAGGCAAATGGTCTTGGCAAGTAAGTTCTTACAGCAGCAGCCTTCCTGGACCTGTCTTGGTCCAGCTGTGTCTTCCAGCACCATGGTGGTCTGCTTTGGCTTTTTTGGGGAGCCCAACCCTGGTCCACATACCTTAGGTGTGCTCTGGCAGTACCTGTGGGGATGGAGGGATCCCCAGGGTGATGCTTACCTTGTGTCACTTCACCTCAGTTAATCACTTTGATCTGCCTTTACAGCTCGTTAAAGAGGCACCTCGAGGGTGTGATACGTAATTTGGAAGTGCACTTCGTGTGTATTTCTTGTGTGTTGACTCTTAACAGGATCCTAGGTGATGGGCTCTGATGTAGAGATCTGCTTCCAATCAGAGAACGCTCCAGTCCTTGAACAGACAGAAGTCTGCTCAGGCCTTGTGAAAACTGTAGCACATGGTTGGAAATGTGAGTTAGAATTAAAGCTTTACACATTTGGTGGATTTTGAAGTCAAACGGCACTGGGTGCCGGGTTTTCCAAGAGTGAAAGGCATCCGAGCTATGGCTTCCAGCAGTTCAGTTTGGGGGTGGCTGCCTAAGTCCCACACTGCGTATGGAGAATGTCTGGGGCAATCTGATCCTTTTTTAGCAAAGGATGATAGAGAAGAACTCTGCTTAGGATGATATGAATGGAAAATGAAAAAGAAGCCTGGAAGTTAGAGCACTAGCGGGACCATGAAGAGTCAGGTGCAAGCCCTCACAAAGTGTCCTACCTCTGAGCTCCAATGGCTCCATCTCTTTTTGGCAATAAGTCCCCAGGTCAGAAATTACTTGAACCTGGGTGTCCCTGTCATCTAGCTCAGATATCCTGCATGTGGCTTTTTCTCCCTGTATTGTGCTTTACCTCCAGGTGGAATCTCAAGAAAACAGGGAAAAGTGATTTTTGGTTCTCTGGTCAGCGTTTGCCTCCTTGTGACCTATGACAGAAGTTGCCGTATCATTTTCTGGGTGTCCAGGCTCACTGGCAATTTTTGAGTGTTTCCACAGTGTCATCTTTGTAAAGACGCACTTTTTAGAGCAGCTTACAGGTAGTTTCAGTTACGTATTGTGGCTAATGTTAAATTAGGATCTGTTCACGTGAAATCCACCACACAGGGTTTTGGTTTTACAGGCCGGTTGTCGAGCAGGGCCTTTCATTTGGCCACCTCACCCGATAACTGTGGCTGGATAGGGGACAAAGGCCTGCGTTTTCAACACCAGATCCTTGTAGTAAGAAGGGGATAAAGGATTCCTCAGGGAGGAATTGGAGCAGAGAAGAAGGAGAAGACGACGCTGTACTAATAGTGATGGATACGAGACTCTGGAGACTGTTGGGTCTGTGGCCTAACAGAGGTCATCCTGAATGTTACAGAGAGTGGCACCCCAGGCAAAGAGCTAAGGAATGGAGGGGACAAGAGGCAGCCATGGCTTGTCCCTCATCTTGAAGCTCCACAGCTCGGGTTATGGGTGCTGAGCTCGAGCAGGAGCTTCTTCTTCAATTGTCCTTCATTTAATACTGTTGCTTGGGAAACTTGAACTCACTGTTGTGTGCTAACGCTCCTGAAGCACCACTGTCTCCTCTTGGAGCCAAATCGAGACTGCAAACAAATGGTGGCAGAGGGGACCATTGCTGGTGAGCTGGAGCTGTGCCCAGGGGCTGAAGTGGCCTAAGGGGACAGGAGCTGTAAAGGGGTGAAAGAATGGCATAGCCCCACAGCCAGGCAGTCCAGGAGGAGATGTGGAAAAGCCAGGCACCCCAGCTGGCTGCCTGCGGAGATCAGCATTGCCCAGGTGTATGGCAAGGATGGAGTTTGCCTCCTGAGTAAGAGGGAAACAATGAAAAGAACATGGGTGAGTGGCAGAGCTGCTGATTTTGCAATGAGTAACGTGTATGTCAATGGCAAGTTATTCAGGAAAAAGTAAAATTTAGTTCTTTTATTCTGAAAAATAGTTAAGTTCATGTTCTCTGTTGCTAAACCTGTTGATTAACTTCCTGTAGGTATGAATTGGGAGCAGCTTTGTTCATTGGATGGGCTGGAGCTTCCCTCTGCATCATTGGTGGCAGTATATTCTGCTTCTCAATAGCTGATAACAGTAACTCTCCAAGGTAAAACACAAGTTGCACTTACCGAAAGAAATCAGTATTAGCACATTTGTACCTGCTATGTGTATGTGGCTTGATTACTTTTCCAAAACACTTTTTAGTGAGGTTCAGAAAAGGATTTTGTGGGTGAAAGAAAATAATGGGATTTGAGGACAATGCTCTATCATTAATGTAATTAGGAAAAGCTATTGACTCAGAACAAATACTCATATACTGTATATATACTGTAATATATACAGCTGGAAAAAAAATGCATTCACTGATGTTGGAAATGCAGTCAGGTCCCCTTCCAGATGGGAGCAGACCAGTTTATTTAATCACAAATCATCAGCTCAAAAGTGAGCAGTGAAGGACAGCAGTGGTGGCAGTGGGACCGCCAGCAGCAGCAGAGGGGCAATAACGAAGAGGCACACCTGAAGGGAGTAACTGCTCACCTAGGGTCTGCCACAGCCTAAATATTTAATGATTTGGCCCTAATTTACTTGGCTGTGAATGAGGGATACAATCTTACATAAAAGTGAAGTGCAAAGAGAGGTGCTGGAGGGGAAATGTGAAACCAGAATGAAACCCCAGAGGCAAGGAAGGTGTCCCCTGGGCTCCTTCCCCTAAAATGTATAGGTACATTCCTATACATTTCTTCTCATTTTATGTTGCTGTAATGCTTGGATGGAGAGATGGTGCCTGTCTGTGGGATGAGCTGTAAATGGTTGATTCTCTTGTTTTTTCAGGAGGGGGTATGCATATAACGGAGCCACATCTGTGATGTCTTCTCGTACAAAGGTCCACAACACTGTCCCCGACAAAACCCCACCAAAGCACTTTGACAAGAACGCTTATGTTTAATTCTACTGTTGGAAGAGCCAAAGCATTTTAAAAATGAGTTTGTACGTTTCATACAGTGATTTTTCCCCCAACCCCAATGTAATTACCACTAAGACAATGACTTTTTAAAACATTAACTTGCAGCTTTTTACATGTTGATGTAAATTTTATTATATAATATTTTAAGATTGATGTTGGTACTGTAAAGTTTATACCTGGAAATCATGAGCTGATGTTGCTTTCTTGAAAATAATAAACGTGGTATTTACCAACTCCATGTATGTCGATTGCTTACGGGAATGGGATCACACACATAGTGCTGAGTGCAGCGCATCAGTGCAACTGTTCCTGAAATGGGCACAGTATGGGACAAAGCAGCCGTGCTCTGCAGTTTGATACGTAACATATCTCACCACTGAGTGGTGATGTGGGAATTGCAGAGCATAGAATCAGAGAATCACAGCATGGTTTGGGTTGGAAGGGACTTTAAAGCTCATCCAGTCCACCCCCCTGCCATGGGCAGGGGCACCTCCCACCAGACCAGGTTGCCCAAAGCCCTGTCCAACCTGGCCTTGAACACTTCCAGGGAGGGGCATCCACAGCTTCCCTGGGCAACCTGTGCCAGTGTCTCACCACCCTCACAGTAAAGAATTTCCTCCTATTATCTAGTCTAAATCTACCCTGTTCCAGTTTAAAACCATTCCCCTCATTCTATCGCTACCTGCCCTTGTAAACAGTCCCTCCCCAGCTGTCCTGTAGGACCCCTTTAAGTGTAGGAAGGCTGATATAAGGTCTCCTTGCAGCCTTCTCCTCTCCAGGCTGAACAGCCTCATAGGGGAGGTGCTCCAGCCCCTGATCATCTTTGTGGCCCTTCTCTGGACCCACTCCAACAGCTCAATGTCCTTCTTATGTTGGGGGCCCCAGAACTGGATGCAGTACTGCAGGTGAGGTCTCACCAGAGCAGAGCAGAGGGGCAGAATCACCTCCCTCGCTTGCTGCCACACTTCTTGTGATGCAGACAGGATGTGGTTGGCCTCCTGGGCTGCAAGTGCACACAGCTGGCTCACGTTGAGTTGTTCATCAACCAACACCCCCAAGTCCTTCTCCTTGGGACTGCTCTTGAGCACATCGTAGCTGCAGCGCCAGCCTACGATAGTCAGTGGGAAATGGTGGGCTCTTACCTCTGTGTCGCATTGCCAGGGTGGCAAACATGCAACTCGGTCAATTGGGTGCCATGGGAATAAGAAGGGGAAGAGAAGTGAAAATGAGGATAGGATTGGGGAGGCAGGAACAGGACAGACTAATTGGGTACTAAGAGTCAGGGCCAGTTATGGAAACAGTCACTGGAAAGGATCTTGCGTGGCCAAGGATGAATGCGTGCATGAGAATGCACGCATGGCTGCGAGCATTTTTGTGTGCAATGAGAGAAAAGCTCGGTGCTGCAGCCTGTGGGGGATTTGGTGGGTAGGGCAAGGCTCAGAGACAGCTGCTACATCCTGCATTTGCTTTGTGCCACCGGTGACGAGTCACTTCCAAGGGGTTGTTTTTGTTCCCTCCTGCTGAGCAGGGAGCCGGGACACCTTCGGCTCCAGAATTACTCCAGGCCACTGGGGTGCAAGAGGGAAGGAAGAACCCCAAGCAGCACCAGCTGGTCTGCACCCCCAGTGATGTCCCTGAAGGGCTGCCCAAATGAGAGCAGGCAACACTTAACAACACTTTTTAGATAATCCTGAGTTGGTTACAACAGTCCAAAAACTCAACTAGTACCTTTTTTGAGGGCCTGTCCATAGAAATGTGATGGCTTTTGAGGGAATATTTGCACAATGGTTCAATAAATGAGATCAGAGATTATGAGTAATCACAAAACACTTCCTAGACTGGACCCTAAAATCGGATACAAACTCAGGTCTGTCTTGAGGTTTCAACTGATGGAGCCTTGGAGTTTCATTCTGGTACAAGGGTGTGAATATAACAAATGAGTAGTCCTATTTATTCATGGCACAGTATGATAGAAAAGGTTGTATCTGATACCATTTAAACCACATCAGGGTTACAAAGCCATTCAAGGTTCTTTTTACTTTATTTTTGTATTTCATGTAAGTCACACCACCATTGTGCTTTTATAAGGAGGCAGCCAATATGGACGAAACAGAGAAGTACTTGCACAATGGCAGGTCAGTGCTTTCCTCAACTGAAGCTTGTAGTTTTACTATTTTTTTCTCCAATTTTTGTGATTTTACGTTAACTAAGACTCAACTCTAATAGAAAAAAAAAATAACTTCCCCAAATACAAACCACACATTTATGGGTGAGGCCTTTTTTTCCTTTTCATTTGGTGTTTATTGCAAACCATGTTAAAAACATAACATTTTAATGTATGGAAATATTTTCTTTAAAATGTTCACAATTTTATATAAAGTTTATGATAAAATACAAGAAAATGTGCATTTAAAAATGCTGTCGAGTAATACTCTGGAGTAAGTTCTGTTCATTGGTTAACATGCTTTCTTGCAAGACCAGTTTCAATCTGTAATGTAAACATTAGAGGCAAAATCTTCACCTCCGTGAAACCAAAGAGACTTTCACCACTGAGTTCATGAGAAGGAAGCATTAACTCTCAATTTCCAAACAGACATGGCCAGTAATGTGTGGATGAATATTGTTTCAAATTCAGGACTGAAAGACACCAGGGCTCTGTAAACAGCGTTCCTTGCTATTACGTGACCAACGTGAGAAATGAGTAGGAAACACGTGAAGTTTTCAACTATGTTTTCAACCCCAGCAGAACCCGAAAGCAGTGCCTCCCATCAGGAACCCACCAGTTACACGTCTGAAGAATCACTGCAGTCTGTCACAGTGACTAAGCTGCTTTTTAACGTGCTTGTATTGTCAGCTTCGTGAAGGCCTGTTAAAAGAACAAAAAATAGTAACAATTATTAATAATAATTTTGGGGTATTTTTACTCTGTGTTTATCTATGAGAGAAAAGCACACACTGTAGGGAA